GGGGGTCCCTGCCCACATACCCACCCCTTGGGGCGCCTCCAGCACCTCTGGTTTGCATTGTCTCTGCCTTTTGATGGCGCTCATGGAAGATGTGTGGGCACAGGCTTGCCGCAGTCTGGGGGCCTCTGGGGCTCACCTGGAGGAGACCATCCTGCATGAAATCTGTGACCCAGGGAGACCCCGAGTGTTTAAGGACCAAATCCCCGGCTGCCTTCGAGCTAGTAAGCCCAGAGCTTGGGAAGCAGCCCCTGCCGCGGCTCGGCTGCTCGTCTCAGGAGCCGTCCTGCTCCAGCAACTTTGGCGAGAGCGATGGAGCACATCATCCATGGCTCAGCGATGCCCGCTCCCCCCAGGGCACAGAGCCTGGCCAGGCCTTGTCGGAAGTGCTCGGGTGTCACCGAAGCCCCAGCACCAGAGGGGTTTGCGCCAGGGTCCCGTTGGAGATGCGAGGGCAGATCCACCCCACGCCTTTGCTGTCCCTGCTGGCTTTTGGCCCCTCCAGACCGGCGTTGCCTGCCCGGTGGGATGCACTCGGCGGAGGCGGCGTTGGCCCAGCCCCGAGCACGGACCCCGTGGCGGAGCGGTGCCCGGAGCATCCCACGAGCAGAGCCGGACGTCTCGGCTGTGTCGGCTGCCCTGCGGCGCTGAAGGGGCTGCTTCTCTTGCAGGACCTGGAGAAGGAGAGCGACACGCCGCTGCAGCAGGTCTCCATCGAGGAGATCCTGGAGGAGCAGCGGGTGGAGCAGCAGGCCAAGCAGGAATCGGAGAAGCTGAAAGTGCAGGCGCTGAAGGAGCGGGGCCTCTCCGTCCCGCGGGCAGACACCCTGGACGAGTACTAGGTGTGCTGCCCCCCGGACCTTTCCCCCGCGGCAGAGCGAGGGGCGCTCTGTGATCTGCCCGTGCGTGGGCAGGTCTCTTTGCAAAGGCAGTTTTTATTTTCTGATTGTGTTTTCAGAGGTGCAGATAACTGTAAAGAAAATCATGCCTTTAGTTTCTCCTTGTGGAGAAGGAGGAGAGAAGGCATTTGGCTGCCCTTCGGGGCGGCCTGGGGAGCGTGAGCGTTTGTGTTCAGGAGGCACAGCGCTCGGTCCTTTGGGTTTGTTTGCTTTTTCCTCCTCACGTGACTCTGGGTGAGAGTTTTCCTTGACGTGTAAATAAATCCTTCATCTCAACGACAATGGTTTTGCATGTGTTCAGGACCTGACACTTTCCCCTCTCTCGGAACGACCACCCTGGTGCCAGCTCTTGTCCTTGCTGGGCGCTGCGCAGGGGGGAAATGGGACCCTCGGTGCTGCCATGGGGTAGGCTCGCTCCGAGGAAAAGCTTAAGGATGTGGCGAGATCAGAGCAAGGCCTGGGTACCCCCTGCTCCCCAGCAAGGGCCACCAGCTCCCCCCCCAGCCAGGCTGTGGTTGCTCCCCTGCAGCTGAGCCCACTAATTGCCTGCTGACGAAGAGCTGCTGCAGCTGGGCTGACCCTGCTTGCACCCAGGGCGTGGGCAGCACCCGGGGCACCGGCAGCACCCAGGCATGGGCAGCCCCTCCACCTCTGGCAGTGTCTCCTCGCCTCCGTGCTTTGGAGGAGCTGGCGTGGCTGTGGCAGGTAGGAGAGTCTTCTGTGTCGAGCTTGTCCGATGCTGTTTGGGGCGTTCGGTGGCGGTGTCAGGCAGGAGCTGTCCTGTGCCGCGGGGTTGGCTTTGGGTTGGCTTTTGGGTTGGCTTTGGGCAGCCACCAGGCTGTGGGAGCCTCCTGCATGCGGGCAGGAGGG